AAGTTTGGAATGGAAAAGCTTTTCAAACAATAAAAGCTATATGACCTTCGAATTTTAGAGAAGTGGGAATGTAGAACTTATCATATTTCCTCTGTAATTGTATGTATGATAGAAAATATGCATGGAATTTAAAAGGACATCAGCTAAAAATGTATTCATATGCTCATGAAAGGTAATTAAAACTGATACTATGACCTGACTGGAAAAGGGAGAACAAGATGCATGCAAGAAAATTTAATGGAATATTTAAGTAGGGATTTTTAAAGTGCTGAAATAGAGTTTTTTAATTAATAATTTTTAGTTCATTCTATACAATCCTCTATTGGTGCTAAACACATTTTATGATTTTTTTTTAAAGCTGGGTTGGTCATGAGTAGCAGGGATAGGATTTTAAAACTGTGCTTATTTTTCTGTTGTTTTAATTTAGTATTTAAGGACCAAAGAATATTTGAATAGAGGAAAACAGACATTCAGTCTGAGATGTGATTTCTGAGGGGACAGAGGGCATCTGAACCTTTAATCATCACAAATATTTTGAAGCAGTTGAAAGAAACTATGCAAAGTGTCCTGAGTATTTTAAATTTCTTCATTTTGTGAGTATTTTGTAGAATCAAAAATGTAAGGGTGTGATGTGTGGACACTGTGGTGAAGGACACCACCATTAAGGAAGGGCAGCAAGAGGCAATGTGCCAGATCAAAATAGACATTTGGAACAAAACAGGTTTACTCAAACATAAAACATTTTCATGCCTTTGGATACAAATAGAAAATTCTAAGAACTCTCATTTCTAACACTCTTTATTCATTTGCAAGATAAACTTGGGAAAAAGTGAAAAGGAGATCCCATGATCTCCCCTGCCCAGAGCTTGTGGTAGTTTCCAACAAACTCATATGGAGGCACAAAAATCATAAAGGAAGGAAGACACCTTATATTCGAAAAAAGCATTTAAGACTTTAATACAATTTTTGATTATCATTCTTTTTTTTTATATGGGAGAAGATAGCCAGATACTGGTACCATTAAGATATGAATAAATACACAGTGACCATCTGCTTTATTGGTTTTGAAGCATATTTGACCTGGGAAATAGTAGGATGGTAGTTGAATCACAGGGAAATATATAGAGGCTAAAATGGAATTTGGAATTCACTAATAATGCCCCTCCTAATTACAAAGAGTCTAAAATCCCTGGGAATAAAAGCAAAAATATGGTCAAAATTAAATTTGCCCTCAATCCTTTGTGTGTCAGGAAAAATCTCAACTCCTTGTTCACCATGAGAATGACCACAAGGCAGGCAATGCCTTTCAAAATCCAAAGCTGCTTTGCCTTTGAGTCTTATCTTGTGCCAAAATTTTAAAGCATCCTTGATTCCTTTTTGTGCTTTACTGTTGAACTTCTTCCATTCTGTCAAAGCTCTTTCCTTACAGTTTCAGGGCTTTAAAGCCTCATAATGACCTTTCTAGTTGAGCCTGACCCATTCTTCATGCTGCCATGATGTAGTGTCATAATGCTTCCATGAAGTACAGTTCCTGAAGGGGTTAATGCTTCCCTGCCTTTCAGCTGTTCGTTTCTCCTGAATTTCCCACTGGACTGTCACAAAGTATAACAGAGATGTAATAAAAAGGTCACGAAGGTGCTCCCACAGAATGTGTTATCAAGTCCTGGCAGTGAAGGAATGTGAGTAGGCCTATTTGAATGAACAATGAAGATACAATAAAAGGGAAGCTGAATTACAGGCAGCAGGCAGGTTTGCACTGAAAGAGTAAACAGGATTTACTGTATTCAAGGAGTCTGAAAAATTACACTCATTAGCCATGTATCAAGTAAATCGATAATACCATTATGTGTTACAATGAGAATTAGCTTTAACAGCTATTTCATACAACTCAGCAGGGACTCACAGCTAATTCAATTTTTACTGTGTTGTGTTCACACTAATATTCCTTCAAAATGGTATTACTTTTGGTTTGTCATTCATCTATTTCCTCACTTTACTCAACACATCTAGGAAAATAAAATATAGTCCTCAAGAGGTGTAGTTGTAACATAAGGTTCATTGCTCCTGCACCTTGTGTCAAAACACTGAAGACCAAACTTTGTCTTACACGTACTGCCACTAATGCCCTCATTAGCCAGTCAGCTTTCTGTTCCACGATAGATCAATGCCAGGTCCCAATGATTCCTTGAAACAGGTCATCCATGAGGACTGCTGCAGTAAGGATCCTTCTGTCTACCGCTCTCCTTGATTTTCCTTTATCAGAGGCTTCCTGGATGGCTATTATTCTCAAGTGCACCAGCCGCAGGCTTAATTGGGAGCCAGCAAATTAAAACGATTTGGTGTTTGCACCTTTACTGTGCTGCATGGCCTAACTTAGTAAATAAAGGCAGGAAGGAGGGAGAGATGAAAATGGATGTTTTGTTAAAAAATATCCAATAAATAGGGCTGATGTGGATAGAAAACTCATATCCTATGGAGAAAGCAGAATAAAATGTAAATAGTAAATTGTGGTAAGGCAATAGAGGTAGGACATTTAAAAATTTCAGTATGCAGGGACTTGTGGCAGAACTCTTACTTTTTATGTGAGAGAAATCAGGACAATATTCAACAGAGCATAACCAAAAGAGCCTGTGATAACATGTCAACAATTTTCTACAGGGTCATTTCCCTGGTAAAGGCATCATAAACTATTTAATTTATTACCTAATTTTGCTTCTTTTACTCCATGAAGATATTTTTAACACAAAGTGATAGGCACACCAAGAATTTTTGTGTGGAAAAAACCTCAAACAATTTCCAGAGAGAAAATGAGGAAACTAGAGAGACTGAGGGAGGAGAATCATGTATCATTTGTTGCATCACAACTGTTGCTCTTCTGAACTTTATCCTATGTCTGACCATCTATTCCTCTAGACAGGTATACAATGTACTAAATCTTGAGATAAATGAGATTACTAAGTCTTATACAATAGTCATTGAAATTCACATCCTCAAGCCATTTACAGCATCCCAGTATATGTTGCAAATGAGACCCACATGCCAAATGCAGCTCGGATGAAAAACATTGCTTCACAATGTATTTAGCCTATGACAATGGTAGTGAACCCTAGTGAGTTGCTTCTGTTCTAAAATTTGAGGTTCCCTTCATTCCTTGTTTGATTTTTATCTAAAATGCACTTTTATACCACTCTAACTAAATAATTGAAAAACCTGATATTTCCTTTTGACCCCAAGTGGAAGTCTGTAATGGATCAAAATGATCAGTGTTTTAAATTGACCATTAGAGTTTCTTTATTGAGTTTTTTATTTGTGTGAAATAACAAGTTGATTGAGGAAACTATTCCTGTGTGAGAACAAAGACAGGATAATAACTGCTGATGATTATTTGGTCATTACTGTGCATTGCAAAATAATCCTTTATTCATCCTTAAAAAAATAGCTAAATAATTACTTGTCATATGCTATACAGTGCACACAGGTTTTATTTAGAACTCAGTTGTCCTCTCAATTTTTCAACTATACAATTATTCTTGGGGATCCAGGCAAACACCTGGATTCTTAAGTTGCCCCTTGCAGATTCTTTGCATGTGATTGTGTGTTTAAAGTTTGACTGAATAATAATAAAGTAGTTATTAGGAAGTATTGGGTAGTTAAAATATAGGAACACATGTGCAGTTTTTAATGGAGGTTTTTGTTGTGGGTTTTGGTGTTTTCTTCCCCTGAGGAAATGCCTAACTGGATGGGGAGGCACTGGATTGCATGCTTGAACTGGTGATTGTTTCAATTGAAAACAAAGTTGCAGAAGGTCAGAATGGGTCACTTGTACGATATTGAGTGTTTCTAAATTGGCTGTGTTCTGGGTGGTTTTTTAAGAGGTAGGTTTAATGCTTGCCAGTCTTTTCCATGTAGAATGTTGCTGTAAAAGACACAACATCAAAATGTGTAAGAAACCGTCCTACCTAGGCAATGCCCAGAGTTGTTTGTATTTTGTCTTCAACCTTCCCTGAAAAACATTGCTTGTTATCAGAAGACTGAGTAGATCATCAAACAAAATTTATTTAGTTTTTGAGAACTAATGACATCAAGTGCCAACTGAGAGTACTTATAAAATTAAAGTTTTAAATTTTTTTTAAAAGTAGACAAAAATTGTAATGAAGTAATTTTGAGGGGGGTCATGAAGCAAAAGCCTAGAAGCAGATGAACAGAAGGAAGGAGGAAGAAAGACAATAACAAGATCAGAGTTTTCAGTATGCATTGTGAACAAATCCTTCTGCCACCTTGCCCTTCTACATCCAAAGTGGCCTTTTGGGACCACATCCTCCCACATGCAGAGGGCAGGCTGTTATTTGACCAAGACAAAACAACAGAACCCCACAAGATGGTTACAGGCAGATTCCTCTTCTGTCTGCATCACTCTCCAGTTTCATGCATTCATTCATCTGCAGCTGCCTTCTCTCATCTTCGAGGCTACATCAAGGCTTCCTGCTGCCAGGCTGGGCGAGACGTCTGGGCTCAGACGTCCTGGAGGCAGAATGAAGGCACCCCTGAGTGATTGAAGGTAACAGATAGATGGACTAAGTGCTCATTAACAATACGTGTGCCTATGAAAAATCTGGTGCCCCAGGCCAACTGTCCATTTGGCCCACCCCCAGCATTTAACAGTTGCTCAAAAATATTTGTATTCCATTATAGTTAATTTTTCCCACATATTTACTGTAAAGGATTGCTATAATGAGTTCCAGCTTTTGAACTAGACTGACCTATCTTGTCGGATTCAGAGCCATGTCAGCAGAAGCTGGAGACTTGTGAAAACTATGTGTGAAGCCTTTTGCACATGATGTATTTCAATACAACTTTTTTCTCTCCCCATGTAGCCCAACCCATGTCTGATGAACTCAGGATATTCTGAGGAATGTGTGTCTGGTGAGCAGCAGCAGAACATGAGGATGGCATGCTGAGATACAAACTATTGTTTTTCTATTAAAATATACCTTTTCTTACCTTCACCAGGTGCACATACAGGGCTACAGACATCAGTGTTTAATTTCTTCGCCTATTCATCTTTCTTATAGCGTGTTTCTGGGGGAAAAAATCAGCCTAAAAATGAGCCATGCTATTGTCCTATTTCTTTAAGATGTTATTTGCTAAAAAATCACTAACAATACACAAAAGACTGGGGGCTGGCTTGCCAACTAGCAAAATTAATTACATTAAATTATATGACTAAGATGCTAAGACTGCTACAGCTTCAGAAAATACAAGCAGTGATCAATTATGTGTAACTTTCCAAGCATTTTTTATGGATCTGCACAGAATACATGAGTATAATTCTGTCAGACTTCCATCTCTGAAATCACTTTTTTTTCTCTCAGGCTCTGGGAATAGATTTTGTCATGTGTAAACTTCAGAAATTCATTGTAAAGGCATGTCCTTCAGACAGCATTTGTCTCATCCTACCTATTCTGGGCACTGGTGAGGAGCACTGGCCTTGTTGTCAGCTGCTCAGAGGGCTGTTCCCCTCCAGGTCTGGGTACATGGTCTCTATAATACCAGTCCATGCATGGACTCTTTCATCCTCCCTGCAGCAGGAGACAGCATAAACCTTCCAGTTTTATTTTCTGTGATTATGCTGGGAAAAGCAAGCTGAACAAGGGAGGGCTGTGATGTTTGGGGTATTTCTTACTTTGTGAAGGTGCTCAGAGGCTTCAACAGCATTTTCTGGTGATCCTCACAGCCCTGTTTCCTACACAGTCTGGCTTCCTGATGATGGAGAAATTGGGAGGACACTTCTAAACCAGGACATTTCTCCTGAAGCTTCAGGCAAATTTTTATTTGCTTGCACTTGGTATTAACACACTGTAAGTCAATATTTACTGGAAAATTGTGCAGGGAGCAGAGGTTGATGTTCTTTTAATATTTCATCATATTCTAATTAGCATAAAGAAGCTGATAAAGCTCACAAGATGAAATTTTACTTCAGACACAGGTATTTAATCTCTAAAAAATTCTGCTTGGGTCCATTTTATAGCAGAAGATGTCAATACAGCAGGGAATACTGCTAGATTTCTATTAAAGCTGCAGTGATAGCTTCAATAACTTCTCAGGATGTGACCCCTTGCTCCATAGGCAAGGGAACAGAGTTGCTCAAGTGCCTGTTTTCCAGGGTGAGCCTCTAAAGCCAGCAGGTTATTTCTACGTGTCTTAGCAGTCCAGGTCTCTTGTGAGCTGTTTGTGATGCCCTTGCAGCCTTAAAACCAGGGCTCTTTTTGTTTGAGAAATCATTCCTTAGATAGCTGGAAGGCTGTTGTGCTGTAGTGTCACCTCAAGGCTGCGTGGTACATCCAGCAGTGGCACTAAAGGAATGCTGGGGATCTGCAGCAGAGGGGCTTCTGAAATAGCATCCTAATGCAGGAAAGCTTGAAACAGCCCAGGCAGGTGTAGCTTCATTCTTTTACCCATGGCACCTGTTGGGAGGGGTCTCTGAACCAATTTAGCCGCAGAACCATACACAGGTTTCATCTCAGAGGGGAATGTGGACAGTAGTGAAGGTCAGAACATGAGTTATCTGCAGTTATCTTACAGACTAAAGTTGTCCCAGAACATCTGTGTGATACCCAAGTGTTGAGCCAAAAAAAATCACAGAAATTTGGGGGTTTTTTTAAAAAGAGGAAAGTTAAAAGTTCAAATTTAGAGCATTGACAGTGTTTCCAGGGATAGTGCCATATTTCTACATTTTCTCCTCTCACGTATAATATTATCTGTGTTGGGTTTTATGATGGCACAAGCTTACTATAAATACTGTGTATAAGCAATTGCTAATTTAATTTCATAATTTCTTTATTTTGACCATTTTTTTTTTCTGATTTGAGCCAAAATTTTTTTATAAGAAACTTTAAAGATCTGTGAAAGATCTGTGATCTTAATCCCAGGTTGACACTTTCAAGACCCTATAATATTGCATATAATAATAGATATTCAAATACTGTCTAGTTTGAAGGTTTTTCTCCAGAAACCTTTTTTTGTGCATGACCAGCTGTTCTGAAGCTGATTTCTACCACTTTTTCAAAACAATTACACTTTTGTCCTGCTTATATTTCCATTTATTCTACTCCTATTTTTCTTACATGTACAATAAATGCTAACATCTGATATTAAACAAAAAATATGACAACTGTTTAAACTAAAAATCTGTGCATAGCAGTCAAACAACAAATTATAAAGCAGAAGAAAACATCACCTGGTATATATTTTATTGATGTAAAATAAAAAATAGCCAGAAAATACCTCAATCATCCCAGATGCGCACGCCCTGGAGGTCACAACCCCTGACAGCCACCTCCTGCCTTGTCATGTCTCAGGACTGTGCCCCCTTGGAAAAAAGCATAATCTGTTCTGCTTATGGCCAGGTCAGCATTTGTGCCTTAGTGTTGCGGTGTGTTGCAATGTCCTGTTTTACCTTCTCCCTTCCCCCTCGCCCCTCGCTGAGTGTGCCCTGTCAATCAGGCTAACATACCAGCAAGGCGCCGTGTGATAGGTGTCCCTAGTCCCTTGAGACCCTGCCCCTTCACCTGGTTGGTGGCTCACCTGTCCCCTCCCCTTCCCCTGCCCTGAGCTTAAAATGTTAATGAGACCATGTGGCCTCTATTCTGTTGGAGGAATTGTCCCGGTGCAGACCTCTGCACCCATGAAATAAACATCTGGATATAACTCTCTAGCAGAATCCACTCCTTCCTTCTCTTCACCATCGCCAGAAGCTCTCTCCTGAGGTAAACGGAGTCCTGACAAGCCTGGACTTGCGTCTTGTGCCCCGCTGCACTCTCAGCCAAGGTATCTCTGGGGTAAAACACCACAGTGCTGCCTTTGGCCCAGCAGCGAGGGTCAGAACTGGCCCAGGCACCATCTAACTGGTTATATTGGGATTCTTATTCCAATACCTTAGTGACAGCTGAGGCCAAGTGGGCAGCATTGAGCACAGAATGAGCACAGTAACAATTTCCACTTCAGATGCAAAATGTGGGTAGTTTCGGGGAGTTTTTTTAAGGTAAGTTAATTTTTAAAAATGTAAATATGTAATTATGTAGCGCTCCTTACCTTTGCAAATAGTCAGCTACTACGGGAATTCAGCATGCAAGTTTTTTGTATTTTACTTCAGAACTCTCTCCACATATCCTGCTATCACAGGCCTTAGGCAACTAGAAGAAACAGAAAAGAAATTAAAGTAAATAATCAGGAGACTGTATGACATTAATGACATTAATTTTTATTTAAAATACACTTTGTAGATATTCCTTAGAGAGCTCTCCAGAGTATCTTGTCATATTGTGAGATTTTCTAAGCACTGGTAGATTTCTAATGACTGATAGAGAGTAGTATTGCTTTCCAAGTGATCAGTGTGGTTTCCTTTCATCTTTGAGTTTCTAGGAAAGAAATCCCTAATTTAAAATCTAATATCTTTCTTCTGTTCCCATACACAGCAGATGGCACATGCAACTACATCCTACTTTCTAATTCCTATGTGACATTTATTATTCATCAGAAAGGAAGTTAAAAAATATTATCTTTGCAGCTTCTGGTTTGGCTGGTCATATAAATTAGACAAAATATTGCTTAAAAGAAATTATATTTGAAAGCACCAAAACTATTAAAAGTACAGCATAGGGGCCACCCAGTGGGGCAGCAGCTGCCAAAGCATAGTTCAATGAAGAAAACACAGTTTGTGGAAACAAAGTTTTTTTACAATATTGACAAAACCAATCTTTTTATATATTTTTATAATATATTTTTACATTCATCTATGGTATTTCTTCATGTAGTAATAAGGAAATTGGAGAAAGCTCAAGTACCATTGATCATATATTCAAAAATACCCAACTTTTCTTCTATTTCAGGTCCCAGGATCATCTCATGTGGCTTTAGAGTAGTGCTCATTAATTCCTCTTTCAAAACTGCAGGCAGGATTTTAATTTTTATTTACAGGTATCATTATTTAAGGAAAATATTGTTATTCAATGAAATTCTGTATTTTTAAGAGTCTTGAACAGCAAAACAAATCTCCCTGAGAAATAAAAAGAATTGCATGCTAATAGCCTAATTTTTCTTTAGACTGAAGTAATTCTAGTGTTGGGTCATGAAAGATACCTGAATGTTTAAGAAACAAAAATTCTTGATATTCCAAAGGACTTTTTTCTCTAGTAAATTACTTATGATTTCATTTTTTAAATTCTTTTTTAATTTTTTAGTTTTAAAAGCAACTAGATTTTTAGCAGCTCACAGGGTCAGTTGCAAGTTCACTCAACACTGACTTCCTTTTAGACATTATGCCCCTGACCTAGAGTTTTGTACACTTCCTAACCTGTTTCTGCTGCTAATAATGGGAAAACAAAAAAGAAAAAAAGAAACAAAAAAAAAACCAAACAACCAAACAAAAATATTGTAATTCAGATTTGTCTCCTGGTTTTCAAAAAAAAAAAAAAAAGTAGATTTAATTCAGAATTTGATATTGTTTCAGTTTTCTAGAGTAGTATGGTGCTTTGGACTATGCCTTCTTGCCATGTCTGCTCAGCCTCTTGAATAGAAAAAGATAAGTTCCATGATAGTGTGCTTTTTTAAATACCAAAACAAGTCACTGTGTAAAACAGTCTTACAAAATACCTGCCCTAGGAAAAGACAGAGTATTTCTTCTCAATCCATCCTATTGTTAATAAATTGCAGTCATCATAACTAAAAATATTTCCACGTGAGGTCTGTTTATCTCTATTCTAGAAGTTGCATGCATCCTGCTGCATGCCAATAAGCATCTTTAGGGGACAAGTGCATGACTTAGCAGATTCAACATTCTTGAATTCATGTTGTATATGTACCAGTTATTCTGGTTAGTACTCTTCCCTGTACACTATTTCTCTGTGCAATCACAGATTCAGATTTCTTAATTATTGCTTTGATGTTGATAATTAAATTCCATTGGTTATAAAGTTAAATGTGTTTAGCATAGGTTACTTTAATGTGGCATGTTAATCTGAATTACCTTGTAGAAAGTCACTTTGACAACAGCAAAAGAAGAATAGAAGAAAAGCTAAAATCTTCCTAATGCTTCCCAATCACATAACATCTGCTTTTATACATTTTTCTTTCTTTTTAACTTTAAAAGGGTGCAGGTCCTGATTATTTAATACCTTCAGTGATGCTTTTCAATGGTCAACTTTTAAAGTGATCTGTATACAGATGAATTCAGGATCTTGAGGTCTTGGAGTCATACTATTCTTCAGGAGTCTATTGGCCTTGCTAAGCCTTGTAAAAACTTCTGCCAGAATATAATTCCTCAAAAATAATATGAGAAAGGGATAAAGTGTGAATATAACAGCTTACGACCTTGAAAGTTCTGATATAAATGTGTGGAATTCTGGGACAGCTTTCTAAAAGAGATATCTCTGCACAAGTAAACTTGAAAGGTTTGGAGTCATCCTTACGAGTTTTTTTTCAAAAGTAGAAATTCAGCAATCAGGATGATCACATTGACCTGCATAATTTGGATGCTACCCAGGTCTTCACCCACTCTATCTTCAAAGTGAATGAAAGGACCACTTATTTTATTTAAGCTTACGAGACTTCTTAATTGTTGAAATTTGGATTAATTTTCATGAGTCTTGTGAATGCTATTATTCAAAAATGTTGGAATATTTTTTGAAATTGACAGCTAACTTAGTAGTATAGTGGTTGGAGATTTTTTAATTTTCAAAGTAGTGTTAACCAGTAAGAATGCAGATTTTTGAACCTCAAGCTTCAACAATATACACCTTATATATAGTTATTTCAAAGTTTATGTAGTAATAACAAATTACTAATTCTTTTTTACAAAAAACAGTATGTGTTTTCAATTTGAATAACTTGGATTTTCCTACCTCTGTTTCCTTCCAGTTACTAGATAGTTAGTGAAATAACTGAAATGTATTTTCTTCAATATTAAAAAGCTACTGACAGATGGATTAAGATGATCATACTCTCCAAAGCTCCCGAAAGTGATTTGCCTTTGAGAGATGGAAAATAAAACAGTAATTATTAGTCTAAGGATTTTGTAGGTTAATCTAATTAAGAATCCAGACTTCTTATGTCTTGGTTGGAGTCCTATCCTAGTAGCAAAGTAATTTATAGTTCATTTCACTGATTTTTTTTTTGCCATCTGCCTTAAAAAAAAAAATGTAAAAAGATTTCTATAGTACCTACAGCTTGCATCACACTCCCACTCTGCATCATATTTTTCCTACTACATCCAGATGGGCTGCTCATTTTCTAAGTAGTTAGTAATATTCTTCAGGCTTGATCATAGTAAGGGAAAAACATTTGTAGTTTATATTGCAATTTTTAAATAAATTCTTTTGGTTTATACAGATTGAGCTTGTCACTTTCCCTCTTGATCTTTCTTCTTTTCCCCAGCTTTGCCTATATCACTTTCTAATGTGATACCTCAGATACTACTCTCATTCATTGTCTGATAGAAGTCTGGAGAGACATTACTAGAATAATGCAATATTTCATGGTTTTATTTCCAGAAGATTAAAATTCTTAGTTTTATTGGTTTGTATGTACATTATTCTCTTATTAAATTTGATTGCTATATAATTTCAAGATTATTCAGCTTACTTCTGGTCAACTGTGGTACTTCCAAAAAATTCTCATCTGTTTGGTAACAACTGACCTCATATTAAATATTTTCAAAAGTTTTGGTTTTAAAAATTTAGGATTAAAAAGTATTTAGTCATTTTCTGTAAAGCCTACCCTATGATGGGTCAAATACACCACTTTTAATTTGGTTCCATTTGTTCTGGACCATAGCTTTCATTAAAAAATATTCAGTAAATCTTTTGGTGAAGGAAATATTTCCCATGCATTTATGTTTGGATTTTTTTCTCTCTCAGCTTGCCTATACATTTTCTGCTAATCAGATTTCATTCTTATGATGGGTAGGAGGCTGTCTAAATATTGTTCCTTTTTCCACTGATGATAGGCAGAGAATTGAACATGATAATAAAAATTCCTTCATCTGTTTCTGAAGGCTTAAAAAGCTCCAAATGAACCAGGCTAAACAGAACATAGGCAAAATATCTGCATTTGATTATATGAAATCTGTGTTTCCATCTCCTTTAGTATGATGCCATTCTTTGTTTTTAGTCCTATCCAAAGGAAAGGAAAAGCCTTGTTTAGCTTCTCCAAGGTAACTATTGCCACCAAGTAATAAATTAAGTTTTATGGCTTGAAAGATAGACAAAATCTAAATTTTTGGTATTTCACAGCTATTGCAGAATGTTTCTTTATTAAAACAAAGCCTAGTCTTGCCAATGGACCCACTTTTTTCTGCAAATATTGGCCTTCATTTGCGGGTAGCAGAGACCTACCAGTGGTTTATGGTCCTTTATATTTACCCTTTGTTTTTCCCATTTAAATTTAATAGTAAAGTGTTTGAACCACAGAGATCCTTAAAGAGTCCCTTAGCCCCTAAATTCTTTGGCATGCAGGCATAAAAAAATCAAGGCAAAATGGATATTATCATTCAAACACAAATGACTTTCAGTTTACAGCTATTGTAAGTTCTCCTTCCCAGAAAGTATTCACTTTAGAAAACATGTGTTCAAAATTGGGTTTGGATTGTTTTATATGCTCTGTATTTCTAGAAAAACAGCTCTTTGAAAATTGTGAATTTAATTGAAAAAGGCCCTCTGAAGCACATGTACACTAAGTACCTTCTAAGTCTAATTGGAGTGCAATGGCTCAAAGCAATGTCCTTGTTGTGTTGGTGCAGTGCTCTGCAGCCACAGATCCAGATCTGCACTCAGACAGATGGAGCTCTGAAGACAAAGCTGCCTTCCAAACCCATTGTTTTTTCCCCCATAATAAATATTCACAGAGAGGAAAAATCTATTGAAATGAAATTAAATAGTTTCACAGGATTTTGTCTTTCTATCCCAGTAATAATCTGGCCTTTTTGTTGAGGCTTTATTGTTCTCAAACATAATTCTATATGATTCCCATGCAGATGAAACACTAGCACAGATGATAATTTAAAACTCTCCTTATTATTCCTCATAAGAACTTCAATAAATCATTATAGTGTTATCATTACTCCAACTTGTTTTGACAAGGCTACAACCTTCATGTTTCAAAATGAGTTAGGTCTGAATTTATCTAAGCCCAGGGTACT